TGAGGCTTCAGCACCCCCCCCCACCATAAATGCGCAGTATCTGTACTCATGCCAGGTTTGGTGTCAAATTCTTCTGGGCCACAAAATCCAAGTTCTCTCACGACACCCTCCCGGAGTCCACACACTCTCGGCAGTACATGGACAAATAAGAACTCATTTGGCTCAAATAGCCTGCTCACCCTGCATTTTTTCTCCGACACGTATATTGAAGTAAACATACAGTTGATTTTCTTTTTTTTTTTTTTTTTTTTAAGCTGAGAGCAGGGTCGAGTACCTACAGTGTGCTGGGCACATTCTCTCTTGTAACCTAAAATTTCTTTCAACCTCAAGTTTCTCAACTGTAAACTAAGGGGCCAGATTATCTGTCCTCCTTTATGGCTCTAAAAGTCTGTGACTACCTGACATTAAATGAACTTTCAATTTCGGAATACTGAATGCCCCCATCTATCATTAAGTCATTGTTATATTGGACAGTATGGCTGTACTTAATGAACGAGTCAATGAATTGACTTGGCTGTACTTAACAAATTTGTTTTGTCACATATCTATTATAAGCAAAGCACCTGGTCCTCTTTTCACAATACATTTAAGTGAACCCATTAGTGACTTCAGATAAAAATCTTGAAGCAGGGCAGCGCGGTGGCTCATGCCTATAATCCCAGCACTTTGGGAGGCCGAGGCCGGCGGATCACGAGGTCAAGAGATTGAGACCATCCTTACCAACATGGTGAAATCCCGTCTCTACTAAAACTACAAAAATTAGCTGGGCGTGGTGGAGCATGCCTGTAATCCCAGCTACTGGGGAGGTTGAGGCAAGAGAATTGCTTGAACCTGGGAGGCGGAGGTTGCAATGAGCTGAGATCGTGTCACTGTACTCTAGCCTGGCAGCAGAGTGAGACTCCGTCTCAAAACAAAAAACAAAACGAAAATCTTGAAGCATCTACCATCCTAAAGGCGTGAACAGGTTTCTAACTCCTCAACGTACTAAGGGAGGGCTCCGCAGCAGTGAGAAATCTTACAGTATGGGGCAGCTTCTGTGCTGAGGGTGCGTGGTTATGAATATTGCAAAATGATATGTCTCACCCAGAAAACCCACCAAGTAGTCCCGGGCTGAGTCTTCATCCCTGTCCCAGGGTTCTAACTCGAATTGACTCTACTTCAAAGGAAGGAAAGCTTGTTTGGCCAAATACCCATGGAGCATCGGTTTCAGGAATGTGACATGCTGTTAAACCACAGCCGTGTATGCTTGCAGCCGCTGAGATTTTTCAAGGATGAAAGTTTCACTTTTCAAAGAAAAACATGGCACCATGTAAGTTGGAGAAACATAAGGTAAATGGTGTCAATTGGCCCCAAGAAGCTTTTTCTTCCCGAGAACACCTACTACGTGTACATTCCAGGGGAGGTTGTAGAGGTATGTGAAAATGGATTACATGTATACGATTAGAACAATGAGACACAGTTCCTGCCTTCCAGCATATTTCAGGAGGTGGAGATACCCTCCTAGGCTCATGCTCTGTCCCTCAGAACGGGTCTGAGCCTGTGTTGACTACAGCAGCCGTTTGACTGTCTGAAGGAGCCACTGCAACCTCCCTATACTTCCCTCGTTCCTCCCTAGATGCTTTTGTGCGGTGGCTCCCCCACATGGTTGCGGTCATCCGGACACTGACTAGTTTACCCGCGTTCTTTGTAAACTGCGCTCCCTGCTCCCTCATTTTCCAGGTAGAGTGAAAGCAGCATAAGTCACACGTGGGCAGTGTGGGGGCAATGCTGGAAACCTGGGCCACTAACCGCACAGACCACCAAGGGTTGGCGGCTGCTTCAGGATCTGTAAGACGCGCAGGTCAGCCCAGCCTGGGGTGACCCCTTCCAGAGGGGCCAGGCAGCCTTGACCAGGCCTGGTGCTAAGTACTTCCTAAGCCCTGGGTGGCCTGTAGCTTCTCACAGTTCGAGGTAAAAGTGGGCCCTGGGCCAGAGTCTTGGACACTGGAATTCGTGGACACTGGTGGGGAAAACCACTGGCCTCTGAGCCTGACATAGAAGGGAGAAGCCCGCCCCCTTGTGGATCTCTGGAGAGTAACACGGTGCAAAAAAGCACTGAAACCCTAACAGGGGACAGGGAGTCTCCGGGAGCAGCCACCTCCTCTCAGTGCTCCCATTTCACCAACCGCCTCTGGGGACCTGCAAGAGAACTGATCTGTGCTGTCACGGGAGTGGTAGCAGGGGACATAAAATGAAGTTAGGAAGTTGAGGCCCCTGGATTATGTGTCTGGCAACAACGAGTTAGAAAGAAATCGGGCAAGTGTTATTAGCTGTTTAAAAAAAGAAAGCAGAAAAAAATGGCTTCTGGAAGTCTTTCCTGGTTCTGCCACTCCCTGTGTGGCCCCAGGAAAACTACAGTCTCTCTCTGGGCCTCCAAGGACCTTGCTAGGTTAAAGGCCCCAATCCCTCTGAATGCTGAAGCCTCAGGCTTTCACATCTCAGTCCTGACAGTGGTCTGTGGTTGGTGGCACCACATTCCTGATTGAAGAGAACATGGGAGGCAGCAAGGGCAAAGGGCATTGTGCAAGGGGAAGCAGAGGGCATCAGCTTGGCCATCCACCCGCAGCCCTGGACAGCACAGCACCCCTATCACTACACCATGCTGCTAGGAGCCCAAAGGGTCATTTTCCAGAGTGAGTCCAAGAGGGGTCATGTCCCCTCCTTCCACAGTTTTGGCCAAATCTACATCATTTCTCCATCACGTGGACACCAGCCCAGAGGTGCCTGTGCCATAAAACATGCTTGACCCAGAGAGATGTAACCTAGGCCCATTGTCCAAGACAGCAGCCTTGCTCCCACGCTTCCAGACTGCTTTTACTCTGCACGAAGCACATGATCAAAGATTGTGTTTTTAACATATTTTCAAGATGAATTCTTTGCTACTCTGTAACTGATCAGGATAATTGGGCTAAATCTAGCCCTGGGAAATGCAAACCAGAAGCACTTTCCTCGAAGCGCCCCAGATTAAAAAATGAATGATATGTTAAGATGGCTCAGATTTCCAACTGCACCACACTCACAGAGAAACAGAGCCACCGAGTCAGCGAAGATAGTGTTTTAAAGGCCAGCTGTCCTCCAAAAGAATGAAAAGTATTAAAACTCTTTTAGGTGGGGCACGGTGGCTCATGTCTGTAATCCCAGCACTTTGGGAGGCCGAGGTGGATGAATCACTTGAGGTCAGGAGTTCGAGACCAGCCTGGCCAATGTGGTGAAACCAAATCTCTACCCAAAATACAAAAATTAGCCGGGCATGGTGGCATGCACCTATAGTCCCAGCTACTCAGGTGGCTGAGGCACAAGAATCACTTGAACCCGTTAGGTGGAGGTTGCAGTGAGCTGAGATTGCACCACTGCACTCCAGCCTGGGCTACAGGGCAAGATTGTTTAAAAAAACAAAAAAACAAAAACCCTGTAAAATGGCTTTGTGCCGGGCGCAGTGGCTCACAACTGTAATCCCAGCACTCTGGGAGGCCAAGGTGGGCGGATCACCTGAGGTCAGTGGTTCAAGACCACCCTGGTCAACATGGTGGAACCCCCCCATCTCTACCAAAATTACAAAAATTAGCTGGGCATGGTGGTGTGCACCTATAATCCCAGTTACTCAGGAGGCTGAGGCAGGTGAATCACTTGAACCCAGGAGGCAGAGGTTGCAGTGAGCCAAGATCATGCCACTACACTCCAGCCTGGGTGCAGAGTGAAACTCTGTCTCGAAAAATAAATAAATTAAATTGAATTTAAAAATGCCTTTGTATAAATTATCTGAAATAATTATGCCCTCAGTCTAGCATGCTCCTAGCTGGAAATGTATGGACAAATGTTAGGGGTAGAAGAGTCATCTATGCACACTATAGTACACTAAAGCTTTGGCTGAAACTATATAGCCTGTAATGTCTCATTTTTTAATGGCATTAGAAGGCATTATGAGTTATTACATAAACATCCTTTAAAATTCAGAGTAGTCCAACAATAAGAACAACCCAAGTTCTACCTAAAAAACTACAGTCAGGTAGAACACATAACTGTAACTGTAGACAGAACACTTTTCAAACACCTATTTAGACCACCTGGTTTCTGCAGCATTGCCAAATTCTAAAATTGTAATGAAAAATGTAAAGTTTAAAACCTACAAGTCATCAGAGGTTCAGTGAGCAGATTGTGCCATTCCAAAACCGAAAATGTGCTTGCATAAGCAAGTCACCAGGGCTAACCTTTCTGGATTGAGAGTCTGGCCTTCAGTTCAGACCGTGGCTATGCCAGGGTCAGAAATGTGACAAAACTGCGCTTTCACGGAGGTTAGCCAAGGTTCACAGGGTCATGACCGGGCCATTTTATCAGTCATGTCAGGCTCACACCCTATTGCCTGGGATAGATAAAAACTTTATCTGTCAGTTTGCTAAATCTGCTCCTCCTGCCTCATTTTGAATAAAGAAAACCTGGGCTCAGCTTATCTAAACCAGAGATGCACCTTTCCTAATACTGTTTCCATATGCAACTTCTAAGTAAAGGTGACACGCCAGTGATTTCTGGTCTCATTTTAGTCAAGAACTGTCCATAACTGGAGTGACTGGCTTTGTCTTATCTAAAACCTTCACTTCAGAGAACAGATTTATTATGTTTATGACATGTTAGATGAGCTGGAGGGGTTAGAGTGACAGTTCTCAGTGTTACCTTTTTCCCTAAAGTAAAGCAAACCAAAAAATTTTTTTAATTAACTTGGATCAATTTTCCAAATAGGGAATCTAAATGACTGTAGAAGAATTTACAGAGAAACGTCTGGAATAACACACACAGACATGTATTTTCTAATAACTGTTAACGTAAAAAGCAGCTAAGATTTCTTCTCACAGAAAACAGAGATGCACAGATAAGCCCAGGTGGGCATTGTAAAATCTGGTTAAATACACTAAGCAAATATTAAACTGCTGAATTTTACCCGACAGGAATCTTAAATACCAGAAAAGTACCTTCAAATTTTACTTTATTTGGAAATAATACAAATTCATTATTTTAATATTTAAAGATTGTGGTAATATAGTCAAAACACATAAATATTATAATATACATTTAGAAATTAAATATAAAGTCAACACAACACTCCTTAAAAACTCATATGTACACTTGAAATAAGTCTGAGGTTTGAGCATTCAAGCTCATCAGATTTCCCCATGGAAATGGGTGAATCTTGCAGGGAGATTGTCCACAGGATACACGGTGGGACTGGTTTTCATTGTAGGAGGTCCATTTAGAAGCTGCCAGTCACAATGCCTGGCCAGCTCCACTGTAAATATTTTGAGAAGAATTTTTGCAAATTCTTTGCCAACACAGCTCCTAAGGCCTCCTCCAAATGGAATGAAGCTGAACCTGGATGCATCCTCTGGGTGAGGCAGCATGAATCGGTCAGGATTAAATTCTTCCTTGTTGGTGAAGATCTCTGCCACATCATGAGTATCACAGATACTGTAGATAACATTCCAGCCCTTGGGAATCTGGTATCCCTGCAAAAGATTATGAAACCCCAAGGGCTGACAAACTGGAATTTAACTTTCAACAACAAAAAGCAGTCACTGATATCTTTGGGGAAAATTATGAGCTAAAAGCAAGGGAGAGGTAGAAAGAGAAAGGTGGATCCAGGTTGCTGAAACACACCTTCATATAGGGCAGAACAATTATCAAAAGCGTAAGAATTGTAGCCACAGCATAGGGAAGGAAGCAAGAGGAGTTTTTTAAACCACAACAAAAGGGAGGGAGAAGAGAATTTTAACTTACATTTAACTCAAAAGTCTTCAGAGCAACCCGAAACCCTCCTGGAACTGGGGGATTCAGTCGAAGGGTCTCCTTAATAACACACCCGATGTATTTAAGTTGTTCCAAAATTTCCATGTCCAACTTGTTGTCTTGATTGCTCTTGCAAAGTAAACCCTATGAAAACAGTCATACAGAGGTGAACAGTTATTTTGTGTTCCAATAAAATCATCCCAGCAGACGTAAACAGGGCTTAAGTGGAGACTAAACCCAAAGGGCCCCATGATGGGAGAGACTGGGAGGGGGAAACAGCAGCTAGTGGCCATTGGCCTGCCCAAATTCACTATCTATTTACAATCCCAAGAGAATGCTGCTCACCAGTTAGAAGGGCCAAGTTTCTCCCCTCGCCCCGCCCCCCACAACCCTCCCACTCACCACCACCCACACTAATCAGCTATTCACACTGATCACACTATGTATGCCCTCGGACACACCAATTCAAGAAAGTGGAACCTATCTGAGAATCTCCTCGGTTCAGCAAAAGGTGGAGGAGGGGTCAAAATGAATACAAGGTCAAACCCTGCGTAAGTGGGATCACAGCTCAAGACTCCATCCTGTTTATTCACAAAGCTAATTCTCCCCACTGGCTCACACGGCCCTGGGCCCTGCACTTTCAAAACACTCAATGAAGGCAGCACACTGACTTATTCGGAAGTTGGCTAGGGAGCAGCTGAATTTCCTAAGCTAGTAAGGACACCCCCAGTCCCAGTCTCCCTACCTTACTCTTCAGCTCTTCTCGCACTTTCTGGAGAACATGTGGGTAGAGCCCCAGGTAAGTGATCAGAGATGTGGCTGCACTGGCCGTGGTTTCGTGTCCTCCGAAGAGGAGTTCGGTTGAAGATTGCTTTAGTGCCTAAAATAGAGTAAGATCCACGTTCTCACAAGTCCACAAGTCTGCGTGCGGTTTGACAGAAGGATTACTCAGAATCGAACTTAGATTTCTGGAGGGAAGATAAAAGGGCTAAATGTTTTGCTGACAGAAAGTCAAGGAAAGCAGTATCTTTAAACAAAATGCAAAGTCCCTTTAGTTCAGCTAGAGCAGTAAGGCGAGTACGACCCCACTCTACCGGAAACTCCTGAGTTAAAGTCTTAGTTTTATTAAAATCGCAAGGTTCTTTATTAACATTTTTGCAAATTCCAACTTTCCCTTTGAAGCCTGGAAAGGTTAGGGGACGCTCTCAGTTCCGCCGCAGCCCCTTCCGCAGCTCTCCTGACCCGGTGTCTCAGCCTTCGGAATTCCATCGCTGTAGTCTGAGAGGGCCGCCCACTCCAGAAAGCTGGGTCCCAGGCGCGCGATTTGGGGGCCCCAGGAACCACGCTTGGAAAGCCAGGGGACCAAACTCCGCAATGCCTGGTCTGAAGCTGTCACTCACCTGCATGTCCAGCCGCTCTCCCCTCTCCCACGAGTGCTCGATCAACAGCTGCAGCGCGTCTTTGCAGCCCCTGCCCGCCTCGGATGCCCGCAGCCCACAGATCTTGGCGCGAATGTTCTGCTCGATGCGCGCGTGAATGAGGTTCCGTGCCTTCATGCCCTGAGCGCAGAGAGCGCGCGGAGGTGAGCAGATGCCCGGGTCCCGCGCCCCTAGTCCACAGCCCGTTTGCCGCCCTTACCCGGTACAGCCCGCTGAAGGGCACGTCGATGGGCAGTGAGAAGAGATTGCGGGTCATTTCCTCGAAGGCCTCCACAAGCTGCTGCTCGGCGTCCCCGTCGCCGGCCAGTTGGGGTTCGCAGCCCAGTAGGATGCGCATGGCTATTCGGAACATGAGGCGCTTCACCTCGGGGTAGACCAGGAGGCCGCGCTCGCCGCAGCTCAGCCACTGCTCCAGGCTGCTGCCCACTTCCTCGGTGATCACCGGCACGTAGCACTCGAGTGCCTCGCGGCTGAAGGCCCGCATAATCACCTGAGCCCCGAGGAGCGGAGAGCGTTAAAACCCTCCATCCGCCCCTCTCGTCTACCGCCGTCCCCTTCCAGACACCCCCAGTCCTGCCAGACACATGGCACTCTCCGAGCTGGGAAAGCTAACCTGGAGCTGGCAGAGGGTCCTAGCCTACCTCAAGCTGCTAGCCCGCGCCCAGCATCCACCAGCCGGAATTCCTGTCATAAATGGGGTCCCCTTCCCTGTCCATCCGTCGCCTCCCGCCCCCACCTTCTTGCGCTGCTTGTGCGAGGAGTCGTGCAGGTTAGAGAGGCAGCCAGATCCCAGAATGGTGCGCACCGACGCTGGCCAGTGGACCGACACCAGCCGGTGCTCTCCGAGCAAGATGCGCCGCACATTGTCCGCGCCCATCACCCGCACGGTGGGCCGCCCGAACAGATGCGTCTTGTAGATGAAGCCGTATTTCCTGCGCTTCATCTGCAGGAACTTCCTCCGCTGTGGGAGGAAGGCCGAGGAGAGAGGCGGGCATGAGGGGGCGCCGGGGAGCGCCGCGCCTCGCGCCAGCCCTGCTCCTAGCCGCAATCGCCTGCCTCCCGGGGGCGCCTACCCCGACTTTAGCAGAACCCCAGAGCCGCTCCGGGCTCCGGGAAAGCGGCCTGTCCCGCCCCATGCTCCCTTACCTGCAGTACCATCTGCAAGGTTTCCCCAAAGAAGGGGAAGCCCATAGTCCCGGGGGGCAATGGGAGGGCACAACTGCGATCGCGGCCGCTCACGCAGTACAGGTCCCAGAGCTTGATCGCAGCCAGGAAGAGCAGCAGCGGCAGCACGAAGGTGCAGAGCGCACTGGCCAGCAGCGCCGGGAGCCCCATGGCGCGCCGCGACCTCCCGCGCCACCTGCCGCCGCCGCCAGCGCTCCAAACCCCACGGCGCGGCCGCTTTATAGGCGGCCCAGGTTGCTGCCCACGTTACCTTGGTCAGACAATTAGTTCACCCAAAGTTCATCTTTAATTGCGGATTGGGCCCCTGGCTCCTCCCCCCGCGAGGCGCTGCCCAAAATCTTTAACCGTTTGTTCCGCGCCGAGGCAGAGGCGGCGCGGTGGCGGCTTCCCTCCGAGCGCGCCTCCTGGGGTGCGCGGCTAGAAGCTGCCCGCCTCCCCCATCCAAGGTGTGCCGAGCTCCGAGGCGGCGGTGGGGGAGGGCCAGGACTCCGAGGAGCCGGAATTCCAAGCTCTAGCCTTCCCGGCGGTCTCTTTGGAATCCCTCCCGCCGGATCCCACCCTCTGCCCCGGCCCAAAGCAGCCTTCACTGGCTTTCCATTTCCAGGCGCCGCGTGGGCTCTCTTCCACCTGCCGAGGAAGCAAGGGGAAGTCCGTTCAGGAATCGTCCAGCTGCCTCCTCCCACGAGTGGGGAAACTGAGGTCCAAGAGAGATGCATAAAGCAGGCCTCCCGACTTTTCCGAAGGATCGAGCAGAAGAGCCCAGTGCCAGAGTCCAAGAGAGAGCCGCGGGGCATCCGGCGCAATAGGCAGATCTGGGATTCCCAGCTCCCCAACCCCCGCAAGGGAGCCAGCACTTGTGAAGTCTTGGGAGGTCCTACTTCAGTATACAAGAGGGCATCCAGGTCCCTCAGGTCCCCAGGTGCTACCCTGCACAAGCCTGATCCCCGACCCTGGGGCACTTCGTCTGGGGCTCGGCAGTCGGTGCCCGTCTTTGAGATACGAGCACAGCCCACCCATTCTGAGGGCCCTGCGGCTTGGCGCCCCAGCTGGACAGCAGGGAAGGGGGTCCTCAGCCCTAGCAGGATAAAGAGATGGTGTAAGAGGAAGGGGAGCCCAGGAGTCCTGGCTTCGAGTCCCGGCTCCATCTCTACTGCGCGTGACCTTGGGCAAGTCACCACACATCATTGTGCCTGTTTCCTCCTTCTTAACAGGGAGGCGATCATTCCCGATCTGTCTAAGCCTCAGGGTTGTGAGTTCCCAAAAGGGGGCTCCGGTTGCAACTATTCTTCCCAGCTCCGGGCACGGTAGGCTGCGTTACCTGTCCAGTACAACGGGCACTGGAGTCCTCCTCTCTCCCAAGTCCCACCCAGAGTAAAGCCACTGTAATCACCCAGGTGAGGGGGTGCTTGGCCCTAAACTCAGGCCTCTGCCGACCCCTAAGGAGGGGGCGGTGAAGGAATCTGTACTGGGAAGTCTTCTGTACTTTGCCTAACTACAATCAGCAGCTACTGTAGCCAATGCCCGGAGCTCAGACGCTGCGGGACGCGCACCTGCGCTCTCTTTTCTCCACCTGCCGGAGCTTCCCGGCTCGGGACCAGCCAGGGCCACACGCTACCTGGGTTTGGGCGCGGAACGCACCAGCGGCGCCGAAAATGAAACAGAATGACCTGCATTTGTTTAGAACCGAACACTGGCTCTGGCAGAAGCACGCCGCACACCTTGGAAAGCGTCCCTTGGAGGTGGAAAACTCTGCTCCTGAGAGCTTAAATGCGTTGCCCTTCTCGCGGTGGTCCCCAAACCCGGAGGTATCAGGAAATATCTGCAGAGGTTGGAGGGATCCAACCCGCGCAATCCTAGCGACGCTCCAAGCCCGAGTCGCCGCCACAGGGCGTGTTTCCGGGGGTCAGCGTTTCCCCATAACCTGCCCAGTGTTTCAGAGGCTCTGGGCAGGGTTTCAGTCTCCGGCAAACGATTTGGTGGCTGTAAACACGGCGAGCCAACCTCTGGCCACTGCAGGAAGCCAGGCCAATCGAGCTGGAGGTAATTCTCAGAAATCCCGGGTCCGCCCCTTTCTGGACAGCGCCTCCGGCCGGGGTGCAAAGCCGGCGAACGGGGACGTGACCTGGGGCCCATTCCCAATCCTCGGGCCTGACCCGCCTGTGACCCCTGCAGGCCGGACCGTGACATCCGAGTGAACTCTGCGGGGCCACCTCGCCAAGTTCAGCGCACGCCGGGTCACAAGATGAGCGGGGCCTGCACGCTGGAAATTGCCGCAGGGAAAAAAACGTTTTAATCTATCTGCACATCGAGGCCAGCGGGGGCGTCCGGCAGGAAAGGATTAAATTTGAGAGTGAACGATCATTAAAGAACATCTTGAAGGGGGGCAGGGCGGGGGGGTGTCAATAAATTACCAGCCCAATAGGAACTTTGATCTAGAAATTTTGCCAAGCTTTCGTGGGTGGTGGTGGGCGGGGAGGGGGGTGGGTTCACTGAAAAACAACTTGTTTCCAAGATGTTTACAAAACAGCCTCCCTATTGCTAAGAGGCGGGATGCGGAGTCGTTTTTTTGTTTTTTTGTTTTTTTTGTGGGTTTTTTTTTGCTGGTAGGGAGGGGTGAGGGTGCAGGGACTAGACTGGAGTCACAACAAAACAGTCCACCTCCAGTTCTCCTTTCAGCCCCCCTTCTCATTTCTGAACATGCGTTCCTGTCTCAGGGTTCTATACCTGCTGTTCCCTCTGCATGCCACACCCCTCCCTCAGGCCTGGCTGGTTCCTTCCAAAGTTAAATGTCACCTCCTCCAAGGTTCCCCCCACCCATCCAGCCTAATTTAGCCCCAGACACTCTCTATCACAGGCCTGTTTTATTTCCATGACAGCACTTATCACCACTGGACATATTCTTACCCTTTTGTTTGCTAGTTTATTTCTTGTCTGCCTCCCTCCAGAGCATATCAAGTGCAGGAGGGAAGGAACCTCCTCTGCTCCTTCCCCATAGAATCTGCAGCTACTAAAACAGGAGCTCAGATATCCCTTGAAATTACTGAGCATGATGTACCCATGGAAAATTAAAATTGGAGCCACCCCTACAGAGGCTTATAGTTATTCCAGACCCCAGTGCAGGTCAACCAGGCCTTCTTGGAACCAGCTCAACCGACCTGCTTCTGAGGGTCCCTACCCCATTCTTCTCTCCTCTCTCTAAATCACAACCAACCCTGAAGCCTGCATCCTTCTCATCCTCACCCAAACCCATGCTTCTCAGGCCAGGCTGTCCTCTGCATTTGCAAGAGCACTCTTAGGGCAGGCTCACATCCTGCCACCTTTGCTGCCCCTGGCGTCTACCGAGCTCAGGGCCTGGCGCCAGGCCCTTGACTGGCAATGGGTGATGAATTGCACTGTGTGGGGGTTATGGTGTCAGCCCAGGTCGGAAGGGCCCGCTGCACTCTGGAGCTACCAACTCTGTAAGTGCCTGCTGTGTCCCCCTTCCTTCTGGCCCTGGGATCCACCTTAAGCATGAGGTCAGGAGAGCACTGGCTTTCTTCTGGTTCACTAAGGGGTCAGCTCAGGCCTGGGCAGCTACTTCCCTGGCTCACCCCTTACGTCCAGCTGCCCCAGCCTGTTGGAAGCTGGGTGGCAGATTGGAGTGGGCTGTTGGAATGATGACATGGATGCTTTTGGCTTTGATTTAAACACTGGTTGGAACCTCTGTACTGGAACAGTTGAGAGAGTCCTCAAGTCAAGCTAGGGCTTATCACGAAAAGGAGGCCAAACGGTTCAGCCCCACCTGATGGCCACAGGAACAGAGGTTGGGGCAGAAGAGTGAAGGGATAGGGGTGGAGGAGAGCACTGGCTGGGGAGTCCAGGAGCCTACTACTGGGCTTCTCAGGTGAGTCATTCACCTCAATTGCTCCTCAATTTCTCCTCTGTGATAGAGAGGATGGTGAAGCCGTAAAACCAGAAGTCCCTGAAATGGCAGGGAGGGGTGAGGGCGCAGGGACTAAACTGGAGTCACTGGAAAGGAGTGACTCCAGGGCGTGGTGGGTCACACCTGTAACCCCAGCACTTTGGGAAGGCAAGGCAGATGGATCGCTTAAGCCCAAGAGTTTGAGATCAGCCTGGGTGACATGGTGAAACCCCATCTCTACTAAAAATAGAAAAAATTAGCTAGGCATTGTGGCACGTGCCTGTGGTCCCAGCTACTTGGGAGGCTGAGATGGGAGGATGGCTTGAGCACAAGAGGCAGAGGTGGCAGTGAGCTGGTTGTGCCACTACACTCCAGCCTGGGCCACAGAGGAAGACCCTGTCTCAAAAAAAATAAAAATAAAAATAGGGTCCCTGAAACCTGGAGACAATTCACAGCCCAGATTCCGGGGTTATATTCAGAGAGAAGTCAGGGTAGCCCAGGCTCCAGGCTGCCCAGCTCCCAGCCCCTCTCTGGGTATACTCTGGAGTGGGTCCTTCCCTGGCCTCCCCAACCCTGCACCCTAGTGCCTTCCCCACAGGGAGGAGCTGCCCAGCTAAGCCCTAGCCTCCTCACTCAACCGCTCCCAAGACACTTTATTTCGTGGCCTTCCTATTTTTGGTACAAATATCTCAAGCCTCTCTAATTATGTCTCAACCTCCCATGAAAATAATCCAGCGGTGGAGACGTGTTGGTGTGCCTATTCTCCCCTGTATACATGAAAAGAGTAAATGCGTTCTTAAAGTAGGAATTTTTCCTTTTAAGAAGTCGCCAGCAGAATCCGGTGACCTTGAGCCCTTTCGAGCCCTGGAAGTGCCCACAGTTCCGAGTTTCCGCCGAGACCGGCAGAGTGGCCAAGGCGCACGAAGCCAGAGGCCAGCTGCCAGAGGGCCTTCCGTTGGGCGTCCTCTGCGTGTTTTTCTATGGCCCAAAGCCAGGCCAGGGTTGCGCCCACGGTGTCCCCGCTTCCTTACAAGGGTTGCAGGTCCCACTGCGCGCGTCGGGTCTCTCTGCAAGGTTTCGGAGTTGCAATATCCCCACTCCCCTGCCACCCCTACCCCGCCTTCCCCCATTCATGCATCCTCCCTGGATTGGCTCGGGATGGGGAAGCCAAGCAGCATCTCGTGAGGATCTATCTATTTCCTCCATTCCTGCTTGGCCCACGACTTTTTCCTTCCTCTGGGCGCGGAGCGCAGAAGGCATCTTCCCATGGGCTTAGACGCTTCTCTGGCGCTGCAGCAGTGGCTCGCGCTCCTCCTCCCTCGAGTCCGGCACACATCGGCGTTTGGCGAACATTTGTTGAAAGACTGTTGAACGAGTGAACTAGTGGGCGCGCTACGCTACAATGGGGAGCCGCAGATGGGTGGCGCTGCGTGCGCGCCACAGCCACCGGCCAAAATGTGTCCCACAGCGCAAGCATGTCAGAGGCATAGCCCATCCCCCGCAACCAAAGGCGCGAGGGGGTGGAAAAAGAGCCGCAGCCCGTCCACTGGGTGCACGATGGGCACCGTCTGCATGGCGGGAAAGGCGGGTGTGGCCAGCTCCCAGCGCGCGGTGCGCACCAGCTCCACAGCTAGCAGCTGGAGCACGGTTTGCGCCAGCTCCTGGCCGAGGCAGCTGCGCGCACCGCCGCCGAACGGGATGTAATGGAAACGGCTGGAGGCGCCCCGCGAATCTTCGCGCGCTGCGCCGAAGCGCTCTGGGTCGAAGCCTTCGGGAGGGCTGCGGTACACCGCAGCCGTCTCGTGCGTGTCCCGGATGCTATACATCACGCTCCAGCCCTTGGGGATCTGGTAGCCCTGCAGAGAGGCGAGGAGACCAGCCTGACCACGAGGCACCTGGAAACGGGGTGCCCTGAACTGACCCTCCACCCCGGTGCTTTCATCAGGCTTCCGAAAACCGGGAGGAACCCGCGATTAATCCGGACACAAGGAGAAAGCTCTGTGTTCCAATCTCAACTCCTTCACTGGTGAAATGTATGACCTTGGGCTAGATGCGCAGCCTCTCTGAGCTTCAGTTTCCTCATTGAAAAAAAATGAGGGGAAAAATGCCCACTGTGTTGGTGAAGACTCAAATTAAGGACTTGGCACATATGAGTATTCAGTAAACAGTAACTATTAGTTATGTTCCCGTTTGGTTTTGTCTTTTTTTCTTCTGACCTTAGATCAGAAGACCTAAATTCCAGTGCTACATCTACCAGTTGCTAGAGTGGGAGAAATGCACATGACAATTCCTCGAGGTCAGTTCCATGGTGGAGCTCTCCTTTGCATTGAACTGAAAACTTTCCGTCCTTCCCATCCATCAGCTGGACAATAATGTTCAGATTTGGTACCACACTTTAAGAAGGCGCACATGCGAATCAAATTGGCCCTCCCTAAAATGCTCAAAGGCAGCTTTCATGTTCCCTCTGCCCACCCCTAGCATTTTCAACCATTTGGCTTTTTGATATGTCTTTCAACCCCTTGACTACACTGCTGCCCTCATATCAAGTTTCAGGGTGAATACTTAAAAGTTTCTAACTGTGGAACAGAACATCTTGGAATCATCCCAGGAGCTCTCTCTCCTCTCTAGACATCAGTGTTCTCATCTGTGAACTGGAGGGTGGCTAAGACCCTTTCCTGTCCTCTGCTCACCTCCCTGATTCTGTGCTTCCCTAAGGTCTTGTAGGGCACTCCAGTGCCTGCAGAATGAAGCTTGCGTTCCAAGACTGATCCCACATCCAAGACACTTCTCAACATCCACCTTTGTCTGAGTCTGCTCTCTCTGTAATGGGCTCTCCCACTCTAAACTTTCACTGCTCCAGTTCAGACTCCAGCTCTCAAAATGTGTTGCTGTCGTCCAGCACTAGGGATCACTCTCTTCACACCACAAGTGGGCTGAGGCTGTCAGGCCCGGCCCCTTCCTCTCCAAGTGGAGCTCCTCCAGGGTAGAGTCCCAGTCCCTTTGATACCTCCTGAACCCTGGCACGCACTGTGCCACAAATGTTCACTGTGGAATGCCCATCTTTGCCTGGAGCCACCAAGTCACCAAGCATGGTGCTCAGGGGACGGCAGTGACAGCCTTTCAGGCACACACTCGCAGTTTGGCACAGCCAGAGCACCACTGCCTGAGGCCACCACCACACCCCCACAGCCCAGCCCCACCTGGATGGAGCATCAGAGCTGGAAAGACAGCTTCCTTGCAGAGAGTAAACTGAGGCCCAGAGTGAAGAGGGAACTGCCCAAGGTCATACGGAGATGGAGTCAGTTCTAGACCTTAACCTTGCTCAGCCCAAACCGGCCTGATGAGAGATGAAGTGTCTACCCGGTATTTTAATTCCTCCCTCCCCTGGAATCTGGCCCCAGCCAGAGCCCTGGACGGGTCGCAATGAGGGATTCCTTGCTCCTGCGAGGGAGCCAAAGGGGTGGAGTACAGGACATACTGAGGGGTTCTCTTTGTTCTCCATCCACACTCACTGGCTGGGAGGGGGTGCTGCACGGATAAAAGAGTGTTTTTATTCTAAAACTCGGCTCTCATTGAGTTGACCGTTCCGGACCGCTGCCAAAAGCTGAAGGGTACGAGATCCCTAACCTTGCCGGCTCGCCAGACTTTGCGTCCCTCAGCCGGGGATCCGGGGACGTGAAACAAGGCTCAGCCCATTTTACAGGACCGAAGGCTGAGGCTCTGAGAGCAAAAGAGGAGACCTCGCCGTCCGAGTCCCTCCGCCCTCCTCCCACCTGGGCGCCGCAGCAGGCGGCAGGAGGTAGGAGGCAGGAGGCAGGAGGCAGGAGGCAGGAGGCAAGAGGCAGGCGGCAGGAGGCTGGCCATGGGCCGGCGCGGCGCACTTACGTCGAGCTCGAAGGTGCGCAGCGCGGTGCGGTAGCCCCCGGACACCGGCGGCAGGAGGCGCAGCACCTCCTTGACCACGCAGTCGACGTAGCGCAGACTGCCCAGCGCCGCGAGGCTGAGGTCGGGCTCGCAGCCGCAGTCGGGCGGGGGCCCCACGCAGCCCCCCGCGGCCCCAGGCGCGCAGCCGCACGCGCGTCCCAGCCCCTGTGCCACCAGCTCCTCCCGAATCTTAGCGATGGCGGCCGGGTGCTGCAGTAGCAGCAGGACGAGCGAGGTGCTGGCACTGGCCGTGGTGAAGAAGGCGGCGAAGAGGAGCTCCACAGCCGACTCCTGCAAGACAGCCCCGTGCGGCACTGAGTCTCCGGCGGTGCAGTCGCCCGAGGCGCTGACTCGACAGCCCCGTAGAGATGAAAAAGCACTCAAATTTACTATTGCGCAAAGCCAGGGGGCAGGGAAGTGCTATTACCGCCGCGACTGCGTGCACCGTTTTGAAGTCGATTAAATCCCAAGTCCGCCACTTGGGAAAGTCACCTATAGCAATAGGTAAAATTAGGATCTCTCCACGCACCTTGCGATGGTTCCCAGAGAGAACGCGGGAACTTACTCTGTGCACTCTTCTCAGTGCTTTAAGCATATTCATTCATTCGGTTCTCACCTCCCCTCTGTGAGGCACAATTGCTGCTCTTGTTTTATGGAGTTGAAAACGGAGGCTCCAGAGAAGTGCTCAAGGTCCCTACAGCTAGCACTCCCGGCAGGCGGGCTTAGGAGTCCAGAGCTCTTAACCACCTGGTGGTGCCACCGCCAACCCCAGCGGAACAGCCTGACAATGGTTGCTGTGCAACAAAGGCACCTGCAGCAGCAGTGCCAGCCTCGTACCAATGTCGGCATCATGGTTTCATCCTCTCCCTACCGGAATGGTCCCAGGGAGTCACTAAATGTTTTCCTGGTCTGCTCTGCCCAGGAAGGGCACGCAAGGGGCCTGGTGGCTTCATCCTCCAGGCTCCAATGCCCTGCCTCTGTCGCCTCAGGTCCCAGTGTCTTCCTTGCTGGAAGCACCCACCGTTTGTTTTATACACTGATTCCTGCTATCACAGGATGAACGTGTTCCTTCCCTTCCTGAACCTGGAGGACATGGGCTGTGTTTCACTCACCACTGTATTCCCAGTCCCAGTGTGGAGTCCAGCACTGAATAGGTACATCATAATATTTGTGGAATGAATGACCTGGTTGCTCACTAACCCGCCCTGCCCCAGACAAGAGGGTAACTGGGATGGAGACTCTAGAGCCCCAGCATCCTCCCTGATGTCCAGCCCAGAATTGAAGATTCCTGGCTAGTGAGTCCCTTCCTGAGAACCTGGAGGGTGCTGTCACTCCTCCCCAGTCCTGTCTACTCCTTTCTACTCCACTCCCCTTAGCCCTGAACAGTCCCTGTCCACCTGGCTCCCCCAGGACTCATGAGCCCATTGCTCATGTTCTTATTAGTTCCATTCTCAGAAAAGAAGCTAAAGCTGAGGCCCACCCTTCAGGGATGTCTGGTAGAAAGTGGGAAACTAAGGCCCGAGAAAGGATGGGTGGGAGTTGCTTATGGAAGATTGAGGTCTCCCTATTTGTAACTTCCCCTCCCCCCAACTTCTCCACTCCTTTTTGAGTGCTCAAGCAAGTCCTGGGGCCATTCCAAAGCTTCCCACCTCCCCTCCACTGTGTGTGCGATGTGTGTACAAGGGGAGGGGTCCTAATTCTCTAGGAGATCCACAGCAACAAGACAGACAGATAGAGGTGCCAGGTGCCAAGGCAGCTCATAGAAGGAGAGAGGTGATTTTGGAAGGAAGAAGGGAACTTTGAGGATGTGGAGTTTGATCCTGAGCCCCTTAGAGTTTGTAGAAAAAATGAATAATGAGGGCTTCGTAGGCAGGCGGACAGCAGAGGCAAAGGCATGGAGTGGCAGAGAAGGGCAGTGGGGGAAGGAATGGACAGAGAGCCGTTTGTGGCCAGAAACCTGCAAAGATGGGCCTAGCATTCTTGCCTTCAAGTCTCCTACTGACCAGGGTGGCAGCTGGCTGAAGGCTGCACAGCTAGTGAGTGTGACTGAGTCATTACTGGAACCCAGGTCTCCTCTTGCCCCTCATCTTGAGGACTGCCTGTGCCTCAAAGTGGGGCTACACAGGATGTGGCTCTGGGGATGCAGCATTGGTGTGGGGACCTGCTGGGGATGCAAAAGAGGGGAGAAGGAGCAGCCTCTCAGCACCCACCTTCAGCTCCTGCATGGAGGGCTCATGGCCCAGCTCCCTTGCACTGTGAATGATCAGCTCCAGGGCATCACCCGGCTCTGCAGCCTTGTCCTCATGAAGCTTCTCAGAAATGGCCCCCTCCAGGTGCTGATGCAGCTGGTCCCTTGCCCGGATGCCCTGAGAAGAAAGATGGGGCAGGAAGGCTAAGGGGGCCAGGCCTGGCCACTTACCCAGAAAACCTTCTCAGCACTGGCTCTGCCAACATCCTTGTGTTAACAGCTCCCCAGCTTAGCTCCTGGCCTGGCATATGGCTGGGCTCAGTAAATGGTCAGGGATATATCCACTGTCCACAAACACCATTCTGTCTTGATTATCACAAGCCCCCTCTAAGCCACAGCAGAGTTACTATCATCCTGAGGAGAGGATGCTGAGGTTCAGAGAGGTCAAGCAATTGCCCAGAGTCACACAGCTGTCCATGTCCATGCCTGGCACAGAGCCCAGTGCGGCTAGGGTCAGCCCATTGCCCTTTCTCTGCAGTAGGCTCAGGCTGGGGCACTTTGATGCACCCAGCAAAGCTCTGACTTAGAGGATACTATTGGATGTTGTAAGCATTAGCCTCTGTAAGGGCGTGGGCAAGAGGGGATGCCTCTCCAGAGTTCAGGGAATAGCCACAGCAAAAGCATCCCCCCCCCCACGGGAAAGCACTGTAATTCAGCACTTGAGTTCCATAGTCAGAGGAGATGGGGTTCAAGTTCTGTGTCTGCCCCTACTAACGGTGTGATCTTGGGTAAGTCAATAAAATAAGTTTGGCCAATAAAATGAGAATAATAACACTTTGCAGGCTGCAAGGATTAGATCAGAAAATGTATCCACGGTGATCAGCATATAGCATGATCCTTTACACATATTATTTTTATGCAGGTGACTGAAAACCAGGGAATCAAACAGTGGGAAGTCCCAGAACAGGGGGACCAAAAGGCAGGTTGGGGCATCCTAGCTGCTCTCCGGGTCCTACCCATTGTTCTGAAGTCTGGAGAAGCAGCGGTTCTCTGATCCAGAAACCTAGCGGATCCAGGGCCCGTGGAGCTGACGCCCACCCCCTTGGGTCGGGGGCTGGCGCCGGGCTGGGCCAGGGCGCATCTGCAGCCCTCACGCTCTCCTCGGTTCCACAGCCATCTGGGCTTCCGAATAAGTGATGGAGGCCGGCCCCAGAGGCGCCGCTGTGGGAAGGAGTCGGACCCCAAACTCTGGCGGCTCGCGCTTGCTAAGGCTGGAGCGCGTAGCGGCAGGGGTCCCACGGAGGGCGTGTGGCCAGCCCCAGGTCACACCAGCGAACCAGCACAGAGGCCAGGTCCAGAGCCCATCGCCACGCCACCACCACGACGCCTCCCACCCCCGGACCTCGCTGCCGTTCCCCAGCAGAGGTGACGGACGCGCGGGGTGCGCCGTGGGCGTCCCGTCTGGGTCTGGGAGGCCTGTCCGCGCCGCGGAGTCTCAGAAGAAGGTCTGGAGCCCGGGCAGCCGTACCTTGCGCAGGCCACTGAAGGGAACGTCCAGAGGCAGTGAGAAGAGGTTCTCCACGAGCTGCTCGAAGGTCCGGGCCAGCGTGGCGCACTGCGCCTCGTCCAGCCGCAACCCCAGCAGGATGCGTGCGGCCATGCGGAAGGTGAGCGCTTTAGCGGCGTCGTAGACTGAGACCGGCCCGCCAGCCGCGCACCAGGAGCGCACCTCATGCCGCAGCGCCCCCTGCAGGCGCGGCACGTAGCGCTCCAGCGCGGCGCGGCTGAACACGCGCGCCAGGACCTGTGGGAGCGCGCGTGATCAGCGCTGGCGGCGGTCGGGCCTCCTCTGCTTGGCGATTCCGGAGTAGCCAAGAGGTCAGTTCCGGTCCTTTCCCCCTCTTCTAAGAGGCCCAGACCTAAACTTGCTGGCTTTTGCTTTCGCCATTCCCCCCAGTTCTGCTCTGATGCACACAGTCCCTCCCATCCATCCAGGCTCCCGCTGCCATCTCCTCTAAGAAGTCTTCCCTGGCCCCCCTCTCTAGGTCTGAGTCTCCAGCGCTTCTGCTATCACAGCCACGGAAGATGGGAGATGAAAGAACCTTTTAGAGCAGTCGTAACTCCGTAAACAGAAGCTGAAGATAACGGACCCGTCCAAGGCCACCCGCTGGTTACCAGGGACCTTGGTCAGGTTCACAGTGAATCCAACACCGGGGACCCGGCTTGGCCCATGGCAGATGCTGGGGACCGCGGATCCGACCTTTCTACGACCCATTCCCGTTTCCACTCACCTTGCGCCGCCGCCGGTGTGGCTCGCCGACCGCACCAAGCAGTGTGTGCGAGCCCAGCAGGATGTGCGCGCTCTGTGGCCACTGGCTGCGCACCAGGCGGTGCTCGCCCAGCAGGATGGTGCGCACGTTCTCCGCGCCACTCACGCGGATCACTGGCCTGCCCAGCAGGTGCGTCTTGAACACTGTCCCATAGCGCTCTCGGCGGGAACTGTGGAAGCGCGAGCCCTGCGAGCGAGGCGGAACGTGGAGAGCTGGAACTTCTGGGCCTGGGCCGGGTATCCAGACCTCCCAGCTGCCTTTTGATCACAACTCTGTCTCTGGCTGGCGCGTTTACAAAACAAGATCCCCAGTGGGCCTGGCAACTACACTATGGGAATGTACATGCTCCTGTTCCTATTGGTGAGATGAGGAAACAGACTCAGAATGAAGACGTGAGCGCCCAAGGGCTCACAGCTGAGACAAGCCTCAGGCTCCTTTTCTATGCTTACAGGACGTGCTCCTCAGACTCCTTCCTAAAACCCCTTCTGTTTACCCCCTGCATTGTGTCGGGGAGTTGCTCTGGGGAGAATTCCAATGACTTGAGATCCCTTCGAGGGAACGGAGGAGCCAGGCAAAGGCGAGAGTTGTGCGCGCTTCCCAGGGTCGTGGGTGATGGGCAGGGACTGGCTACAAATCCCATGGGCATTGAGACTGAGGAGGGTCCAGTGGGAGCCGGAGGGAGAACGGACTGTATTAGCGCTCGGGGTCGAAGGACTGCTCACCTGAACTAACCAGTGCAGCGTTTCGCCGAAGAAGGGCCAGCCCATGGAGCCCTTGGGCAGAGGCAGGGTGGAGGCCCGGTCCCGGCTCAGCATCCAGCGGAGGGTCCAGAGGTGCTGGGCCAGGCTAAGCAGCAGGCCCGCGCACAGGACAGCAGTGCCCGCCGCCCCCAGCACTGACAGGCAGCTCAGCCCCCAAGGGAACATGATGAGCCCGCGGGGGCCAGGCCGCTCAGAGCGCAGGGACAGAAGGGGACGCAAGAACCCGGGCGCGAGCAGTGCGCAGTGCTCACCTGTTCCGTCCGCAAAAGGCCTGGGGTTTGGGAGCCAAGTCCGAGATTTACAAGCTCCGCTGAGAACTCCGTTCTAAAAACAGACAGGCGGTGAAAGACGGTAGTGACCGTGCGCCCTTAGGGAACGTGCCTTCCTCGAGGCCGGCGCACTCAGAACTTTCTCCTGGCTCCTGGGCCCAAATGCCAGTCCCTCTCGAAGGTGCCCGCTGCCTGGGGAACGCTTACTCCCCGCTCCGTGGGGCACCTCCCACCTCCCCCCCGGGCTCAGCACCCTTTGCATAGAAGCAGCGAAGGAGGGCGAAAGAAGAGCAACTCACCAGTGTTACCAACGTGGTCTGCAGACCCCCGCCCCACCTCTCCCTCCTCCAGTCGTTTAACCCTTCTTGGCCCACCCTGGACATGTTTATATAGATATTGGCTCCCTCCCTACGGACCGATCCCGGTTCACACAACGTGACGTGTCTTTGCATATTTAAAGCGCTCCACGCAGAGTGGTGATTGGAGGCAGTGGGCAGTGGCGCACTCACGGAGGGGCTCTGAGTAGGGAGTGGCAGGCGCTGGGGCGCTCGAGCTGGGCTAGGGGCTCGCCTCGCAGGACCTGCGGGTTCGCGCCAGAGCTTCCTGGCTCTTCTCAGCGCTCGGAAAGTGGGCGAACCCAACGCGCAGAATTGACCCAGGCTTGCGCCCCACAGCGCTCCTGGCCCACCCCCGGCTGCTGGCTCTCTCTTCGGTCCCCGCCTTCGAGCTTCTAGGTGCCCTTCTCTCGCCACTCCAAGGTGAAAGAACTGGGCTTTTCTCTCCTTTGCTCCGACTATTTCAGGGAAACTGCAGTCATCGACGCCTGCGTTGGCATCGCAAAAGCCCACGAGGGATAGCGCAGCCGAGATTCTCCGACAGCTAACCACCTCTCCCGGCTCTCTGATCTACCACATCAGGTATCCTTCCAAAGATGGCAGTTCCACTGCTGCCCTAGGCTTCACAAAGACGTCCTAAGCCTCCAGAAGCGGATACCCAACAGCACCTTTCCGGTCTCAAGGACCGAATTCATCTTTCCCTGCACATCCTTCCCTCCCTCCCCCGAGTTTGCCCGACGACTCTTGTCAATCTACACTGCTGCGTTTTGGGCTTTGTGCGTCCCATTCAAGGGTTCCAAATGCCCCAAGACTCACTCGTCCTTGTCCCTACAGCGCAACCTGGGGTGTGTGTGGAGGGTGCTGGGTGTTTATATTATTGAAAAGAGTAAAGAGGACCCACAGTGGTCTGCTCCAGGTAGTGCAAAGGTGGTATCTCTCTGAATCCCGGGACGTCTCAGCCAAAGCAGGGGAGACACCCAAAGTACACTGGAGGGTTGGGTAAGGTGCGAAGGACAGCCCCATTCCGGTCTTCAAAGAGAGTTAGCTGTTCACCGCTCCTCTCTTCCAGATTTCCCTGTGCCTGAAGAAGTACCATGCTTTTCATGTAGTATTTTAAAAAACATTAAATACTTTGGATTAAGAGATGATCACGAGAACAAGTGCGCATATATATATGTGTGTGTACACACATATAAGTGTGTATATATATGCATGGTTACTATAGCTGTATGTTTATTTAGTACCTACTTTCTTTGAACTATATTTGAACTAAGCCAAACTATATATATATATATATATATATATATATATATATATATATAGTTTTGGTGCCACTCCCATTCCAATAACTAGGAAATAATATGCCTTTTCTCCAGGAAGCACTTGTTTTAAATCAGTAAGCTCTGAATAGACAAAATAGTAATGCATTTTCAACAACTTGCTCAATATTTTTAATATTTCATCACAAAATCCAGAGATGTACGTATAATTCTTTACACTTATTTTACAGAGTCAGGCATAGTTTCTTACAGGCCTAAATCCTGAAAAGGCAAAGGGAGGATTCAGCATAAATACAACAAAGGTATAATAAAGACTGGATTTATATTGTCATTTGGACCACGGAAACGTACACAAAGGAAAATGTACATTTGTTTTAGGTTTTCCAGAGTTCATTTGGTTTGGCTTGTTTCCACAATGAGGATACAGTACTGAAATCTGCTATTTGAAGAAAGTAACCTGACCCCTGTGGTAACTTCTGTGTGCAGGAACCATCTACCCTCGCACAAGCTGCACCTGAAGTGGTTAGCCCCATTTAGTTCCTGTCCTCTCTTTTAACTGGAACCAAACCAAACCAAACAAATCCAGAATGGGGTCAGCTACAAGCAATATAGTTAGAAATATTAACCCTGATGAACAGAAACAACACTGCATCTTTAGAAAATCCAAAACCTTTTGTTCATATTCAGTACGATTAAATTAAACCACCCAAGTAGAACAAATAATTCACATTCTTACTGAGTTAAATCAAGTCTGATTTCAGGAAGCTTTAAAGATTTGTCTATTTCCCCTTCAGAATTAGCAGAATTAGAAATTTTGGTCTGCTTAAATCACAATGAGGTGAAAATAAAAGCTAAAAGTCAGAAAATGGTAGTGAAAAACTACCATATCAGACATGATTGAATTCCAAAGCCATATACTGATCAAAAAACAGATTATCATTCAAGTCTAAATAGAAAAAACTACTTATGAGGCATACGTTTTTCAAATGTATTTGTAATCAATTTCATGTACAATTTGTGACAATTTATGTTTTACACTTTTGCATTTTCCCCTAAAAGTGAAAAAATGGTCATTTTTTTCCATATATAAAATAGTATTCAATTATTTAAAAATCCATACAAATGACATTTATTACTATTTCTTGTTTAAGCCCTCATGTATCTTCTCTATTGTATTTTTGGATTCTGTAAACAAATTACTATATCATGACCAATACTTGCTCAAGATCAATGTTGAATCATGGATTTGGTGTCACTGAGTGCAAGCGACGTGAGGTCTACGTGTGCTGGGACATACCATTCACCAAACTTCTCAGCTGTTTCACAACTGTCTCTATCAACTTCTGTTTGTCTCGATCATTCTTCCTGAACTGAGCAAATATATTGTTCTTTTTGCTAGTATCCTTCATCCTAGAAACATATGTGAATGAAGAAGCTTAGTAAAAGAAAATTAAAAGCTAAGCTGTCACAAGTAAAATATCTTGCCATGCTCTGAATTATCCCACACTAATCCTATGCTTGAAAAATATAGTTCAAAGAAAGTAGGTTCTAAATAAACATACAGATATAGTAACCATGCAAAAAAATAGAAGCTTTATTTTACATTCTATATTAAGTAGCATTTTTGCATTAATATGTACATCTAAAATATGCTAGGTTTGCTACTATCATACTATTTTCTAATATTATTCCACAAAGTATGCTAAAATACATACCCTGTATAGACTCAGCTAATCATATTCATAGCAAGATAAGGTGAAAGGAAAATAACATTAGAAAATGTAAAATAGCAATGTTTTTGCCTCAGTTGCATTTCATGACATTGTAAAATAAATTTACATTTATTTTAAACACTTCCTCTTGTCCTTTCACATCAAATTCACTATAAATATTTTGAAATACAGGAAAATAATAACAATTTTAATTTAAAAGCTGAAAATTTTAATAGTGATACTTTTTAATTTTTATTTTCTTATCCAGCAGCCCCCAGAATCACAGCAGATTCAGAGGGCCTCCCAATAGTGATATTTTAAATGAAATATGATTGAGTAAAGAAAAAGTCTTGTCACATAATGAGAGGGAAAAGTTAACACCTAAATTTATGTTTAGTTGGACAAGATGCATCAGTAAATCCTATTACCTCAGTTTTTACTGTATTGTTTAGTTCAAACCATGTATTTCTCTACCTGCAAAGAATCCAAGTCCACAATGCTGACATTTAGATAACACTGGTGGCAAACATTCCAATTCCTGGTCACATTTGACAAAATACCTTCTTTCCTGAGTTACAGAATTTTTTTTTTTAAAGAAAGCTCCAATTGTCACATCCCCAGTAAACATATTTCTAAGGTCAATTAAGCTTGCAATTCAGGATACAAAAGGAAAGATGTTTTGTTCACATCAATATAAACAGCAGTTGCTTATGAAATGACACCAACTCTGAAGGGCAAGAAAGAAAAGCTTCTTTTTTGGTCATTAAACTAGAATGAGCTTTTAAGCTCTATCTAGACTTTTCTTTTTTGACAGAAATCTCTAGTTCTTTAGTTTATCACTGAATCAAAAGGTGCTAAAATGTTATACAAAAAAAGTTTTCAGAATGTACTCACTTCTCCAAAAGAGTAAGGGCTGTGTTTGGATTCACCCGAAGGTACTTAGAAGCTGGCTGTCCATAATCAGCTAGATAAGTAGACCAATCCCAAACCATAAACAGGTCAAGGAGCTGCGAAAGATGGGGGAAATGTTAAATCAACTTTTGATTATTTACCCAGTTAACATATAAATTATATGCTATCCTTGTTCTACTTTAATATAGCCTGCTTCTTAGATAGAACAGAATAAGGAAATTCATTTTTAAAACTTCATTAACTGTACTTTACAACGAAAATAGATCTTTTTACTTTGAAATTACTAAAAGCGCCAGGGGTTGTTTTCTAGTAAAATACTTTGTGTTTTCAAATAATTGTAAAATAATGAAAACACTGTTAATATAATATATATTAACCCTTGTACTGATGTATAAAAATTTTATCTTTATGCATTAGTCAGTACCCAGATGTAATTAATAAAGGTTGGCGCTACTAACCTGTATGAAGAATTTTAAAGAACTTAAATTGAACCTTTTTTCTTAGAGGTAAGTATGTTTACCTTTCAAGGACGCTGTTTGCACCTAAGACTTTTTCCAAAGTAATTTAAACCAAAAGCTCAGATAATCTCAATTAAGTGCATTTAACAACCTCTGCTGGATTTTCTCTGGTGATGGATCCTCCGTAGTATTATGAAATGAGGGCTTCA